ATATGCAGTGGAATATTATTAAAATTTTAATTTTCAAAGTCATGGTTCACTTTAATTAAAACTAATCTAGAAAAAAAACTACAAGAGAAATTTTGACATACCCAAAAGTCTTGCTTTCTTTGATAAAATCCTCCTTGGCTTTTCGTTTTAACTTTTGTACACTAACTAGGACTTATCAAACCACAGCAGCACAGTTATCCTACCTCTAATGGTGATTCATACCGTGATTTATCGAAACCTCTTCACTAAGAGTGTGTGAATCCCCAAGCTAAAGTTTGTGCTAGCAAATTCTCAACTTTTGACCTCCCTTTGTGTTTCTATATTTTTTGGCTGTAATCCTATCTCAGCACATAAGAAAAATAAAAATAAAACTCTTCTATATATTCAAGAGGCGGCTAAGGGTTTCTTCTATAGAGTGAATTGACCTACTTTATATCTAATAAGGATTATAAAATGTCTTAGTTTAATTGGGCTTTTATTTAATATTCCATCAAATTATGTTTGATTTAGTTCAATACTTAATTGGATTAAGCCTCTATAAAATCAATTAGATCACATCCAATTGAACTTAAATTAATTTCGAGAATTCACCTTATGTGTGTGATCCATTAGGTTCTCAACATGTTTGCAATAAATATAAATTAATTTAATTAAGAATTTTTATTTATATTTATAGATCATGAGTGGCATCTAGTAATACATCATTACCACCTAAATGTTAAGAAACTCAATATGATTTGACTAACCTTTCAGTGTATAGTATCTTAGTGTAAATCGATCCTTTCATCATATATCCCAGATAGATAGAAAGCCTAGCTCAATATCTATATTTTAACTTATCCATATTAGTCCTACAGTTTCTATATTGACCTATCAAAATTACATTGGCCAAGGACTTTTAATCAATATAAGCCAAGAGCAAATGAGATATGTCCCATTCAAATCACTTAGGGTGATGAATCCTCTCTAGACTATTCATTCATCTTCACATACTTTATGTCATGCCTAAAAGCACACTGTTTAGCATTTGGTCATCTCTAGACCTGTAGAGGTGAAATCAAAGCATGACAATTCACATACAAGATGACTTGATATCACAAGTCTAAGGATTACTTACACTACTAACACATGAGAGTATTTTCATAGACACTTGAGTGAAATACCAAATAAAACTCTCATAGCGGGTCGTGTTCATTGAACTTGTTTTTTAATAAGCACTCACATACTATCCTCAAATATCTCACATACTTTAACCTATAAGATCAATTACGTACTTTCAAAGTAAGGAGGCTTAGCATGTACAAGCCTTTGAGCATTGTCAATGTCCTTATTCTTGACAATACAATGACTAAGAACATATTTAGGAACAAGGCTTTGATGCATAAGAATCTCATAAGTATAACTTTTATAATTTCTTTGCAAGGCCATTATGTTCCAAAGACTTTATCAACATAAGTCTCTCATAACTCTTTATAAATAAACTCATGGGTAAAGAAATACCTCATACATTATATAAAATATCTATAATATATTTAACATAAAATATGACTAATTAATGTAGTGTTTTACAAGCACAAAATCGATTGGCTTACAGGGCTTACACTAACAATTTAAGCATACCCATTATAACCCCCACAACCTAAGAAATATAACACCTTTAGGATCATGTAGCCGTTTTGTTCACTAACCCCTTTGGGGGATCTTTCTTCTTTGGTGTCTATAGATATTGGCTACTTAGTTGGGAACAAGGCCAATGTATAGTTTTGGAAAGATGAATGGATAAAAGACATCATCCTTAATACTGCCTTCTTTCACATCTTCGTTTTAGCTATAAATAAAACCAACAAAGTTAGTAAGTTTAGATCTTGGGTAAATAATGAATGGCAATGGAGTGTGAAGCTTAGGGGAAGAGTCTTTGATTGGGAAACTATGGCGTGGGAACAGGTTAATGGTTGTTTGAAAGATTTTTCTCTTGCTCATAACATTGATAAATAGTTGATATGTGTAAATGGTATTCTTATGATAGGGAAAGGAAGCATTGTAAACAAGTAAAGGATGCACCGGAGGTGACAGAGAGGAAGATTTGAGCAATTCTTGAAGTACTAAATGTCGTAGTAAGTGGAAGATAATAAAAAGAAAATTAGAGAGAGAATTTAAAGAAAAAAGCTCTCTAGAGGAAAATGTGTTAGCTCTCAGGGGCGGAAAGAAAAGCTCCTCTAAATGAATTGTGAAAGGCTTTATATATAGTGCTAAAAGTGGTAGTTACTCAAGAATAAGCTTTAATGCGTCTAATGAATGTCATTGTTATGAAGAACATTAATGTGAGTAATCATTACTGTAATTTGGTATAATAAAATTTGTTCTCAAGTAAAATTTAATAGAAAAAAAGTATATGTGAAAAGGTACAAGAGAAGAAGTTGCACGTGAACAAGTACAAAAGAAGAAGCTATACAAGAACAGGTACAAGAGAAGAATATGTACATGAATAGGTATAAAAGAAGAAGGTGTATGAGAACTGGTATATAAGAATAAGGTAGAAGGATAGAACAATTATACTTCAAGAAAAGGTTAAGAGGAAGATCTCTTAACTACCTCCATATCTGAGCCACCAAGCCAAACTCTTCGAAATATCCCAAAATGAGAGTAACCAATGAAGCCTGCCACTTATTCTGAGTTGCTTTCAATGTCATCTAAGTAAAGTGATTATTCTATGCGAAGTATCTGTTCTATTTGTATTAGTTGTTTCACATTGAGTAGTGTTCTACTTATTATAGTTGTTTTATCTGAAGTAGTAATTCAATTCTTTTAGTTGTTTTAGATGAAGTAGTGCTTCACTTATAACAATTGTTCTCATTATTCTTTATACAATATTATGCTATAAAATATTTCTTTGAAAAATAGGTATTAACCAAAGTCAACTATCTACAATATGGAAACATAGTCCAAGTGGGCAATACACCCTAAGTTCCTTCTGTAAAGTGGTGCTAAGCAACAATGAGGCGAATGATGCCCTTTGGGAGAATGTTTGAGTAGGTTTGGCTCCTTCAAAGTTTAAGGTCCTCATGTGGTAAATCATCAATGGTCGGGTGGAAGTAAAAAAAAAAACTAGTTAAACGGAATCTTATGTGCAAGGAAGAGAACATATGTGTTTTATACAATAAAGAAATGGAGTCAATCAACCACCTTTTCATTGCTTGTATGGAGTCATGAAGGGTGTGGAGTAGGTGGTGTGGAGAATGGGGAATTATAGACTATATCACTGGGGATGAGAAGTTTGCTTTTGTTGCATGGAACTCATTTAATGTGGAAATGACTAAAAGAAAAGTGTGGAAGATGTCTTTCTTCACAATAACTTGGTCTATTTGGCTTTGAAGAAATGAAGTGGTCTTTGAGGGAAAATTTGGGATGCTACCAAGATTTTTGACATTATTAAAATGAGATTAGCTTGGTGGGTCAAATAATAGTAGCCAATTGGAAATGGATCTATTTCGGACTTTGCCAATGCTTCACCAGTGGCTTGTGCAATAGCCATAAATAAGCCAATTAAGAATGTTGTTTTATGGGGGAATTCGCCTAAGGGATGACTCAAATTCAACACGGATGGGGCTGCATGAGGCTGCCAAGGTCAACTAGGGATTTGGGAAAGGTGAAGCTTATTTTCTCTAAGGCAAGTTGGAGTGATGCGAACCTTGCTGAAGTTATGGCGATAGGATAGGCCACGATCATATTTGCAGCTTCCTCTTGGGCTATCCTTGCTGGTATTATTTTTGAAATTGACTATAGGAATGCAGTTACTTGGATAACCAAACTAGAGGCTGGTCCATGGAGGTTACAACATCTTATCCTTCAGATCTTGTCCTTTAAATCCAAAGTGGGTAACTGGCAAATCCAACTTATTCCAAGGGTAACTAATCAGTAGGCAGATAACCTTGCCAAATTGAGTGTTGATAGAATGAATGACCTGCTCCAATTTTCTTCCTAGTTAGTGGCTTGTTGTGTTGGGGGCCTACAACACCATGGTTAACAAGCTCAATACTGTGGGTAGCATAGTGCTAATGGAGTTGAGGATCTTGAATGAAGGATTTGGAGGAAAAGGAAACATGCAAATGGTACTGTTTCTTTTTCTTGCTTGTTCTAGTTGGAATCGTTTGAGAGACTTTAGATGTATAACTGTGAATGTGTAAGATTGAGTTATAAATGTGCATAGCTTTTAGTTTTTGCTATTGGTTATATTTTTGTAAGCTAGTTTGATTATATAATACCAAGATTGATATAGTGACATTACGTTGTTTGTTTGTAAAAGGTTTACCCTGTTCTAAGTATGGAAATGATCCTATAATTTTAAAAAAAAAAAAAATCATGTAGCCATACCAATCTACCACCCCTTTCAATTCAGCCTTTAGCTCACGAGATAAGGCTTCCTCCTACACACATAGAGAGCTCGTCTATACACCTATTGGTCATGTAACATTAAAATGACCATATACACATCTTAGTCATATATATTAAATTTCAAGTTGATTTGAACATTAATTTTTAATGCTTATATGTTAAATGTTTTAAATCAATTTGACTTTTTAAAAAGTATATCTCTTGCACCCATAAGAAGTAATCTAGCATATATTTTGTAAAAGTTTTTAAGTATATGTATTTAGGTGTACATATATGTTATTATTGTTATTATTTACTCTTTGTAGTCTAAATATAATACTTGTATATCGTTGTTAAAGATTTGATACATGCCATTTGCATCTTGCATTCGGAAGCAAAAGTTATATAGGAACATAAATCTGAAACAAACCCTACATTAAAGGAAACAAAAACAGTACTAGCATTTTTTATTTAGTAAATATTAAATTGCAATATATGTAAAAGTAAAATCATAATCATAATCATGCTTCTATATGATAATTGTTTTTCAAACTTTCCCTACATTATGCCATTTGCATTTTGCTTTTAAGAGCAAACGATACGTAGGAAAATAAAACCAAAACATATCCTAAACTAAAGGAAATAACCCTTCCCTTCCTTTTTATTTAATACATATATAGGAAGGCATCTCAAACAAAAGGAATGCCCCATCATATGTGAATGCTTATGCAATTGGATAGGCTGGTCTTATGGCAAGGCCACAGAGGCCTTCCGGGGCATCCACATTCCTCTGCATCTTTATGTAGCCATTCTCACCCCAACTTTGGTTCCATGAATTCTTCACCAACCAGTAATCTATACCGTCTTCGCTGGTCCCAAATCCAACAATAGTGACAGCATGGTGTAGATTAGTTCCGCAATCTCCAGTGAAGATTCCACTTTTGTAAAATTTAAAGTCCATTCCACTAGCCTCAATGCTAATTGTGACGGGTTGGTTTGATACAGCTTTAAGTAATTCCTCCTCGCTGTTGGCGGGTACCCTGGCAAAATTACTGATATCAGCAACGTGCGATGCCTCCTTCTCTTTGTCACAAGTTCCTTGCGTTGCTTGATATGGATAATTGTCCTCTGTGGTTAATCCACCGGTTTGCATAATGTATTGGAAAGCATCTGTCTTGGAACCACCATCACAACCATGGTTGTTGCCATTTGTGCTGCAGTCTAATAATTGTTGCTCGGACAATGAGATCAGCTTTCCAGTTTTAATTTGGTTAATGCCTTCCGTGGCTGCAACTGCGGCAAATGCCCAACAACATCCTAGAAACAAAATAACCCATGTTAAAGAATAAAGCAGCTAACCTAAAACCAATTAATAATAGATGAAGAGGCCGAGGTTCAACTTGAATATAAAACACGAAAAATCCAAGACTATATGGGGTACAACTATTGACTCATAAGGGGCAACAAGCAAGAAGGACGTACTAAAAATGGCTCTGAAAGCAAGTTAAGCATCTAACGTAAAATCAATTAGTAAAAAGTGGAGAGGTTGACTTGATTTTTAGAGTAAAGGAAACGCGAGACTTAAACTTACCCAATAAAATCACTTAACAAAATAAATAATAATTTATACAATTTGGTCAAACTTTTCTTGAAACATGAGTTGAAAGACGTTAATCAAGTCTTACCACAATCTCGCTGGTCCTTAACAGGAGTGACAGCGCCCTTTTCCCTCCAATCCAAGCTTGTTGGAACATCTGTGAACTCTGCATAGGTAAATGGTGATGATGTTGCTAGGTTACCTGGATTCTTGTATCCAGTACGAGTCGCAACGAATTCATCATGACTCATGTCTGCAAACTCATTAATGCCTAACTTAAAACTCCTATTTCCAGCATTGTTGAAGCTCTGAATGTATTCCAAGTTCTCCTTGAAAATCTTGAAACGTCTGTCTTTCTCAGTTTTGGTCTGATAAGTTCGACCATATTGAGCCATCCATAGCTCGTGTTCAGCAATGGTAGCTTCATTCAGTGTGCGGGACATGGCCTGAGATGCCAAAATCCCAAAAATGAAAAACAAGACGAAGTTTAAAGTCATCGTTTACAATGAAGAGATAGCAGTAGATGGGATTTTGCTAATTGGTAAGCTGTGAAGAAGCAACACCCAGAGTCAGATATTTATACCACACAAATTAAACCATCGTATCAAACTAATTGCTTATTCTATACGTTTCTTTTTGTTTCGTTTCAAATTAAAAAGTAAAGGGAAAAGAAAATTCTACTTGAAAATACAACACGTGTCCCACGGCTTCTTTTAGAAATTAAATTGTTTAAAGAATAATGAAATTTCATGTGTGAAAATGATTCATGCAACTGAAAAGAGAAAGCTCTACCCCTTTGCTGCTTTTACAAACTCAGAAAGGTGGTGTTGAATTTACTTCTCCATGCTTTGTAAACCTACTTATTCACATATTTAAATAGGATGGTGATTGAATTTACTCAGTGGCCGAGACTAATCTCCGGTCTTCACAATACAGACTTAAATGTCACGGCCCTCGTGGTCATGTTTTATGAGACTAACCACTTCTTTGTTGTCCTTGAGTCGAAATTTCCCAACACTGGTAAGATGAATTCAAATAATAAATTATGCCATTTTAACAAGTTAGAGAGACTTTGTTGATTTAGACATATCAAAGTTTTCCACAAGACAAATTAAATTTAATAAGACGGCATAGCTGTCTCTTGGCCATGGAAGGAAAGATCAAATTAGTAACTTTTTTATTTTGAAACTTTCATTATGTAAACATTAAGCCGTCATGTCATCCAAAGTCTTCAATAATTTACTAAAGACTTTTACTGATCTAAAATATCAACCTTGTGCATTTCAAAAAAAAAGAAAAATCAAGCTTGTGCATAAAGAAAAATATATGAAAAAACACAGGGAAACTGCTTTAGAAAAATTAATTGCAAGTTCTGTCTCTATCCCGAGCTAAAGAGACGAAAGAAAGCTCTCCACTAAAGGCCTGTGCTATACAGAGAAAAAACAGAAACTCAAAATATCTTCAAGCACGTCTTTTCTACCCAAAATTCCAAAATCAAAATGGCTGTCTAAAGTCACAGAACAGACCCTTTTACAATCAAAGAACCACAAAGAACAAAGGGGACCCCAGAAGGATGCTACCACAGAAAGACAAAAAGATTAGGGAGTCAACAAAAACCAACGAGCAGGACTATACATGAAACCCGTGCCAATCAATATATGTTAGTGTTCAATGACATGTGCATATTTGAGGTTTTTAAAAAATTAATTTTAATCAAAAAAAATTGTATTCATATCAACTATAAATATTTAATCCAGTTCAATTTTTGTAATCTGTAGTTTTAAGGCATCAGATTTTTAGTTTGAAAGTTTGAGAATTTTATTAGTATTACATTAAACGGTTTCTGTTAATTCGGAATTTTTTTTAATTTTTTTAAGTGAAAATTAAACTATTAATGTTTTGTTATTAAAAAGTAGTTTTAATCCTTGATATCATATATATGTATATGATAAATTAAATATTTAAAAAAATTATCCTACATTTTTTCCTATATATATATATATACATAATTAATAAATGGTATTTAGTTATTCTATAAAATTTGATCAAGGGAATGAGACAGAAAGACAAAGATAGATAGACAGAGCTTTGCCTCCTTGCTAGTGATTAGCCAATCCATCCAAATTGCAAAGACCCTGACTTAAAGAGTTCAACGTCAACCTTAACCTTTCCGCGCTGTCGATTATGCTGACGGTCGCTCGTCATTGAAAGAGATCGAATACAAAAGTCTCCCTCAGGTCTATGCTTTAAGGAATATATTATTTTAATAAATTTCCTATATAGATAAAATGAAATCCATATTTCATTATTCATAGCCTAATAATTTCAATATAACACCAATTATAATATAATTAGTTTGTATAAAAATAAAATCACCTTTTTTATTTATATCACTATATAGTTTATTTAAGATTTTCGAAAATATTATTTTGTTTCTATATCTAAACCCACTTAAAATTACTTTTTTTCTAATTTTAAAAATTAAAAATAAATAGCAAAGGGCTCCAGACACTCGATATGCCAATTAAAATCAATAATTTATGGAAGTCACTCTATTGCTTAATCAGTGGCAGAGACTAAGCTCCTGTGTTGACATGATAGACCTAGAGTATCAGGTGTTGACCCTTGAGGCCTTGTTTTATGGGACTAACTTCCTCCTCCTTATGCCATGTCTTACAAGTTAGCGAGACGACTTTGTTGGATTTAGGCAATGCAGAGGTTTCACAAGGCAAATTAAATTTTTTAAGGTTGCATAGCTGTCTTCGGAGTTGGACCATGGAAGCAAAAATCAAATTAGTTTCCAGCACGGCACTTGTATAAATGTTGGGGCAATGAATGTGAAATGTCGATCAGCTGGCAGGATTTGCAGTATAATTTTTCTGCTCGCGTTTCTAGCATATGTAAAACAAAAAATTAGCAACCCGGTCGTAGTTTTCACGGCTAAAGAGCTAAGATCAGCACAAGTCTATCAGACAAGCTGGCAGCCCAAGTAGGCCACGCAACTCAAACAGACCAACAGGTCAAGCAATCCCATAAGTCAAACAAAAAGGCTTAGCTCATGTACCATTGGTAGAAATGTCCACACAGTCCAATCAAATTTGAACTTGTGGATTTGGTTACATATATATATATATATATATATGCAAATTTCTTTAAATTAAATTAAGATTTGAATATTATCTAGTTAAATTAAATCATTTAGTATTATCTTTATCTGGTACTCAAATCCTATGAAGGAGGAAATACCCCTCACTTCATTTGTAACACACAAGTTGAGAAATAACACTTCCATTTCTCTAAATCTATCTCCTCTTCCTTTCTTCTTTTTGCTTTTGTTGCTTTGTGGGTTTCAAGATTAACTTAAACTTAATTTTTTATGTTTAAGGTCGCATAGAGTTGGATTAAAGTCTTGGCTCCTGACAAAGTTGGTTAAGACCTGGCATAATATTGAAGGTTTTTTAAATTGAAAACAAAAAAGAAGATAGTAAGCGATACTAAGAAGTATAAATGCAAGGGTTCTTATACAAAATAATGAGCTATCTAACTACTATATATAACAGATAACTAACAAGAATTGTCCCCAAGGGTCAAGGGAAATCCCAACCATTAGAGCTGAAGTTTTCATTTTGGAGGTCTCAAATTGGATTATGGTATATATTTACTTGCATCATATGTATTTTATTTCAACTATGCAAGTAATTGAAAATCTAACCAATAATGAAATTTCAAGGAAGTTGTGAGTAATAATTTTCTTAAAAATTCTCAAGTGAAGAAAATTTTTAAAATTATGATAAAATTGGTGGCGACTCCCCTTTATTCATATGGTGATTGAGTTTTCAGATTTGCATGTTGTGGCATTAAGTTATTTTTAATAATTAGGAATTAATTTACACTATTTCACGTCATTTATGATTCATATTCCTTAAGCTGACCAAATACATGCATGTTTACATGTTAGTCATGTTGGTGTATTTCCAAAATGAAATGTCATGTCCATATTACTTATTGATATGACTATTGAAAAAACACCACTATCTAAAAGGTAATGTCTTATAATATTAAAGATTGTGTCCAAAGACGAAGAGGCACTTCAATGAAAGGTTATATCCTTAATAAACAGACAATTGCAAGTCTATATAAAGACTTGTTAGCAACCAATTTGAGACATGAAATGAATAAAAACATTCAGACAAAGGCATGTAAGTACTTCAAGTTTCTACTATTTACTAAAAGATCCAAATTCTTTATATTCTACTAGATGCAGAAGGTAGGCTGTAAAGTCGTGACAACTCTGCAACCTTCTAATCATGTCCAACAACCTTCTAGATGCATGATACTTAACCTTGATATGCTTAGTTTGCCTATGTTAAACTGGACTCCTTGCTATTGCAATTGCTTATTGATTATCCATATAAAGCAATATGCCTTTAATTTGCATGAATCCTATATCAATCAACACTTTCTTTAGCCATTGAGCATGGTTAACTGTAGTTACAACGGTAATGTACTCAGCTTTAGTAGAAAATTATGCTACAACCTCTTGCTTTTTTGAATTCCATGCAAAAACAACACTACCAAATGAAAAGAAAAAACCTCATGTGCTCTTGGAATCATCTACAGAGCCAGCCCAGTCATTATCACAGTAGCCTTAAAGCTCACCGCTTTTCTGTTTCAAGTACTTTAAACCATAATCCAATATTCCTTTGACATACCTAAGGATTCTTTTTGTACCTGTGGAATGCAATATTGAAAGAGCCTTAGTAAATCTTGATAATAGACCTTTAGCATACATAATATCAAGTCATGTGGCAAACAAATACAAGAGAGAACCAATAGTACTCTTGTATAATGATCCATTTGCCTGAACAAAACCATTTTCTTTGTTAAATTTAGTTCTACTAGCAAATGGTGTACTCACAGCTTTGCATGAACTCATATGAAACTTTTTCAACACATTTTGAGCATATTTCATTTGATGCACAACAATTTGGTTTTAAGATTGAAGACTTTCCATTCCTAGAATGTAAGTCATTAACCCCAAGTCTATCATCTTAAAGACATTCATCATCTGATCTTTGAAAACCTTCAAATACTCTTCATCAGGTCTAATAATCAGTAAATCATCTATGTATAAAGCAATTATGAAAGGAACCATACCATTTGAACTTTTCACATACAAAGTTGGTTCAGTTACACTTTTAATAAAGCCAAGACTTCTAAAGTTACTAGCAATTTTCTCATATCAGGCTTTAAGAGCTTATTCGAGACCATAAAGAGCTTTTGTCAACTTACAAATTTTACCTTCTACCCCCTTCACTTCATAGCCTTCAAGATGTTCAATAAAGATTTCTTCAAATAGAAGACCATTAAGAAAAGCATATTTAAAATCTAGATGATGAATTCTCCACCCTTCCCTGGTAGACAAAAAAACTAACATTCTAATTGTATCATATCTTACAACTGAAGCAAAAGTTTCCAAGTAGTCTGTCCCATACACCTATGCATACCCTTTAACAACTAGTCTAGCTTTAAACTTGTTCACTGATCCATCTGAATTCAGTTTAGTTTTGAATATCCATTTAACCCCAATTACATTCTTATCTGCTAGTTTATCTTCTAAAATCCAAGTTCCATTCTTAGTAATTATATTCATCTCCACATCCATTACAACTTTCTAATTTTCATCAGAATTGGCTTCTATGAAATTGGTAGGTTTTGATATAGGCACATTACATCTACTATGAATGTCTTCCCAAGTCCTGGTCCCTCTTACTACATGGTCTTCATCATTTATATCAATAAACTCATCACTATCAATCTGCAAGTAATTTTTGTCAAACAAAATCACACTTTCTAAGCTTTCAACAAGCCTTTTTTTTCCCAGTTCCATTTTTAACCTTCCTTCAAGTTTACATCTCTGTTGATGAAATCCCTTTTTAATTCTAAACCATAAAGTTTATAAACTTTATAGACATCACTGTAGCCAATATGTATTGCTGTAATGGACTTTAAGTCAAATTTAGACCTTTTTCCATAAAAAACTTTAGCAATGCACACACAACCAAAGGTTCTTAAATGTGAAATAAATGGTTCATGCTCAAACCAGATTTCAAAAAGAGTTTTATGAGTTAGACACATGGTGAAAGTCCTATTTAATATGTAATTAACAGTGTTCACTGCTTCTGCCTATAACTATTTTGGTAAGTTCATCTAATATACCAGGCACCTGCCCATCTTAGTAAGGGTTTTGGTTTTCACTTTAGAAAAATCATTCAGGTGTGGAGTGTAAGTAACAATGTGTTTGTGCAATACACCAAAGTCAACCAAAAACTTCTCAAATTTAGCAACTATGTACTCAGTACCATTATCACTCCTAAGAGTTTTGATATTCTAATTGGATTGATTTTGAACTAGAGCTTTAAACCATATAAAGTCATTAAAGCTTCAGACTTCTATTTTAGGACGTACGCCCAACAGAACCTAATTACGTTATCTATAAACAATATGTAGTATTTGCTTCCATTTAAAGACAAGGTCTTCATAAGACCACTGATATCAGTATGAATCAGCTCCATTTTTACCTTAGCTCTCCATTTCCTTTCCTTTGGAAATGGCTTTTTACATTGTTTACCAAATTGACAAATTTCACACAACTTATCTAACTTAAAAATACTAGGAAGTCCCTTAACTAAGCCACATTCAAGCATCTTCATCAATGACTTATAATTCACATCTCCCATCCATTTATGGCACAAATTAGAAGCATCATGCTCAATATGCAATGCAACATGTTCAGTACCCAACAAATTAAAGGGTTTTTCATCTTCACAGTTAACAACTTAGAACCAATAGATCAAAGATGGTGCAGTATTTATCTTTGAATAAAAGAGCGTAATGATTATTGCCAGCTGACCTACATTTAGTAAGTTTTGCTCAGCTTCTGGAACAAAATGAACATTAGAAACCTATTTTGTGCCTAAAAAAGTCTCAACTACCACTATACCATTGCCAAGAATCTTTAGAAACACACCATTCGCAATCTTCACTCGAGCCCTAAAACTTTTATCAAGGTTAGTGAATAGATTTTCATTACCAGTAAAATGATTAGAACATCCGCTGTCAATCAAATAGATATTTTTCATTCCTAGATCATCTTCCAACTTTGCCATGAATAGTAGTGCCTCTTACTCATCATTTTGTTCAATTACAGCACTAGCAGCCTTGTCTTCTCCACCATTCTTCTTTGTTTTGCAAACTTTTTCTACATGTCCTAATTAGTTACAAGCTCTACACTTAGCATTTGGCCTATACCAGTAGTATTTAGTTTGTGATTTCTTCTTTTTTAATGCAGGCAAGTAGGGTATTACTCTGATTTCTTCCCTGCTTCCTAGTACCAAATTTGTTCCCCTTGTTCTTAGACGTCTTAGAACCACTCTCTTAGATTCTTAAGCCTTTGGTCATAGCTACCAAAGTATTTTCTACAAAATCTCCATTCCTAAAAGCTCTTCTCTGTTTTTGAGCAAGTAAACCATTAATCAGTTTACTCATTGAAATTTTGGTAAGATCCTTTAAATCTTCCAGAGAAGAAATTTTTCCATCAACCTCTCTAGTAAACTTATCATAAATTTGTTCACCACTCTTCTCTCTATTACTTCTTCTCCCAAATAACTTTATTTGATTAACTATTTTCAAAACCTTATCAGAATAGTCTTAAATTCCTTCGTTCCCTTTCATCCTCAACAACTCAAACTCCCTAGACAAATTGAGAATTTTGTATTTGCTTGGAAAAGTCATTACCTTGAAATTCCTCTCTCAAGATATCCCAAACTTGCTTGGAATCATCAAAGTTTATAATTCTAGTAAATATTGACTCTGGAACTGCATATTGAAGACATGAAAGAGGTTTATAGCTTTTTGCAACTTCCTCACTGTATTCCTTGATCTGCACCAGTGTAGGATTAGCATACTGTTAGACTTAAAGATCCCCACCAAGCTCAACCACCTCTCATAGATCAAATGCCTTAAAGAATGATTGCATCTTCACAGCCTAAATTTGATAATTCGAGCTAGAAATAATAAGAGGAGTTGAAGTTGAAAAACCAGTTGTTGCCATTTGAATTGAGAGTAAAGAGAAATCTAAAAAAGGTTTTAAAAGAATAATTGAATCACGAATCCCTCACGAAAACAACTTTGATACCATGAAGAATTTTAGAGAAAAAATAGTTCCAAATAAATAAAGAACAATCGAAGAACACAGGAAATATTTGGAAAAGATGAAACAGACTAACAATCATTAAAATGGTAACAAGCTCACCGATTATATTTTCATTTAAGCTTTTGTATGCTTTACAATAACAAGAAAAATGAGTAAACAACCATAGATTCTGCCTAAGGATGTGAAAATCACGACAAGTTAGCTAAGCACAAAAAACTATACATTGTTTTCTGTTCACAGCAACGGCTGTCTCATATAACAAACTCAAATGGCTTAACAGCCTTACAAAAGAAGCTAAAATGACAACAAGTTGATGCGTAAAAGGAAGCAATAAACACTTGTCTAAATATGTTGAAAAACCTTACACAAGAAAACATAAAAAACAACACAATAAGAGATCATCTGAATACAACTAACAGAGGAAAGATGAAACGACACTGGAAACCACCATTTGACAAGACTCAATTTGATAAAGGTAATAACAGCACTGTTTAGACTGCACAGCATCCTTCTTCAAGCTTTTCAAATAATAGTTGATTCCCTCCAAAGCTAACTACTACTCAACTTCCAGAGACAAGATCATTTTCTCAACATTTAGACATACCAAACACAAAGAAAAGATATACATACAGGAATACACCTTTACCTAGGTCCTGATAGAATAGAGGGCATGGGAAAAGATGAATCAATTCTATCAACTATAGCTATTGGTGCTTCAACATGGATGATAGTTAAGAAACTATAATCAGATATAGGTTCTATGTCCATCGAACCTTCCAAAAACTTCACCACTTTTGATGCAGAGGGCCTTCTACAGAGATTTGTCTGTAGACATGAGATTGCAATCTTCATCACCTTAACAGCATCTTCTTTATGGACTTGCATATCATTGTTACAGTCATCAACAAGATCAGCAAGTCGATCTTGTTCTACCTTCATCTTCACAATATCAATCAGATAATCACCTGGAGAACCTAAATTCCTCCGTCCACAAATAATTTCCAAGATCACAACTCCAAGACTGTAGACATCAATCTTGGCTGTGATATCATGGCCCCTAATCAACTCAGGGGCAATATATCCGGGTGTTCCCCTTGGCAAAGAAGACACGTGGCTTTGATTCTTGTCAAACAACCTTGCTAAGCCAAAATCAGAAATCTTTGCATTAAAATCTTTGTCCAAGAGAATATTTTCAGGCTTAATGTCGAAATGAATGATATTTTTATTGCAATAATAATGCAAATACTCAAGTCCCTTCGCTATTCCAACAATGATCTTCTGCCTAATCTCCCAAGTCAGAGCTTGTGCTTTGCTTTGATCGAAAATCCATTTATCTAAAGAGCCATTGCTCATATACTCGTAAACAAGAAGCCTGTTAAATCTCTCTGCACAGTATCCCATCAACCTAACCAGATTAAAATGGTGGATTCTGCCTACTGTCTTGACCTCTGCAACGAATTCCTTTTTGCCTTGCTGCACATCAGAACCTAATTGTTTCACAGCAACTTTCTCACCATTTTCCAAAGTACCTTGGGATACTGTCCCAAATCCTCCTTTACCAAGCATCAAATTGAAATTTTTTGTTGCAGATATCATATCTTCAAAAGAGTATTTCTTCAACACAGTGGATACGTCAAGTGAAGATTCACCTGTAAAATTCTCCTCCCTCTGCCTCCCAAAGAAAAATTTATTCCTCCACTTTGCATAATGATAGTGTGATCCAATGACAAGTACAGTGAAAATTAGGAGACTCGATAGAGAGGATGCCAATGTCAAAACCAAAAATGACTTCTTTCGATCTGATGGGCTCTGTACTTTGATAAACGCAAAGTTATTATAAGTTGAAGCTGACTTTCCCACAGCCATCAGCGAGAAGAGCTCTGTTAGCAATGAACAATTTCCATCTGACATTTTGACTTCATATTTGAAGAAAGCTGCTTTGCAATGGCAATCACTCAAACATTCCTTCTTGCACCTGTCTATATCTGTATGATATAACTGAGGTTCAAAACTGGAGTAGGTGACATTCTCAAGTTCTTGAAAGGTGTGAAGTTTGGTGTCTAAGCAAGAGGGAGGATTGATTTCTTCACATCCAGAACTGGGATGGGTGGCATCTAATGGCCTAAAATAGCTTACGTTTTCTCTGCTTGCTCCAGGACAAGTGCATCTTCCATCACTGCAAATTCCATATCTGCCACATACTGTTGGAAATATACAGTCCCCAAGCTGCTTATCTTCCAGAAGATTAGCCATTAGCGTCTCCTTGTACCCATCAACAAGTAGGTAAACGTTGAGGTGGCCATTTGGTTCCAATCTTATGTACTGGAAATCTCCTCTTTCTGACCCGTAGTACACATGTCCTTCGGTGTAATTGAGAAAACCGCAGCTAAAATTGTATAACAGGTAGTCCCTTTGAAAAAGAAATATGGCACGGTACATTTGTGGTGGATCAGAAGCAAAAAATGCCTGAAGGCCACCATCACCAATAGTAAGATAGAACATACCTGTAGAGAAATTGGTGCTTGAGACACTGGAGCTCATTTGTTTTGGTAGACGAAAGTGCTGCCCCAGGACCCATGCATCAGTAGGATTGGCAAAGGAATGCCAGAGAAAACCTTGCACATTGTTTTCAAGTCTCAAGTCTCCTTCTCCATTCAAAGTTATGCTGGTAGAATTTTTCCAAATGGTGTTTGTAGACCATAAACGGCTGCCATCACTCTCTTTCAATACCATATTCCCACTTGCAGTTAGTTCTAGTGTGGCATTTTCTCCAACGGGATCATCTCTATTGGCAGACCAAACTACTATTGGAGGAGGATCGTATTCACTTGTAGCAAAAATGGTTCCAGCTCGGAATTTAATTACGACTAGATAGAAGGCATTGGTACTTCCATTTTTGAAAAAACCAAATCCAAAATTTGGCCTGCCGTAGCTGTACTTGGCTAGGATGGGTCTCACTTGAGACCCATCATTAAAATTCCAGCTTCTATTATTTGGGTTGTTTTTCCATATTCCAGGGGGACGAGTTGAAGGGAAGCGTTGCGAAATGACGCTATTTAAAGTGCTATAGAAGATAAGAAGAAAAAACAGAACTATCCAGTTAAGGCAAGCCATTGAAACTCACTAGGGATCTCCCTATTTCTCTGCTGTACCTCTTATATGAAAAAGATTCTCTCTTCTTTTAGAGTAATGTCTTTTTTAGATTCAAGAGGATTGACTGACTTCTTTCATTCTGTTTATCTTAATGCTCCAAAACGATTTCCATTTGGTTTGCTTTCAGGTCAGACTAACGGCCTGCAAATTTGAAATGTTTATATTTTAATGCTATATTCTAGTTCTGGTGAAATAAATAAACAGTTCTCAGAACTGATCAGTTAACCTAATTGATCAACAAGACAAGGATGGATGAACTGGTCAAGCATCAACTATGTTAGCAAGTAGACACTTTGAAGAAATCAGCATGGTGTCAAGTTTTTTTTTTTTAAAAAAAAAAAAGAAATTAAGAAAAGTAAACGATATTCTATAGCCCCCAGCAGTGTGGAACAAGATGATCTTCACTCTGTTCTTATTGTCATGAGAAATTTAACTCTAGACAGAGTTTATTACTTATGTTCCTACTTTGTTTATTTAAATACTGCTTCAGTCAAAGAAAATGAGTTCTGCTTTATTCTTTCTATTGTTTTTTTTTTGTTTTAGTTTATCATGTCTCCCATTGCTAGGCCTTACAGTAACTTGCCATATGGCTTAAGTCGGAGAAGCAGGCCACCATTATCAATGGGGAGTGGGGATCAAAAAAATTGTTTTCTTTTTCCATGTCTAGAAAGGAAAAAACAAACCTTGACAGATAAAGGTGAAAGGTCAGTGACATTACTCAAGTAAGACAGATGAATTATGCAGTATTCTTTTTCTTGTCAAATAAACTAAGACAATCATTGCCATCTATATATGATACTGATCTTCCCCCAAGAATTCTCAATATTTATACGGTACACATGCTCGTCTTTGTGGGACTATAACCCAAGAAGCACGTGGTTAATGCCATTGGGAAAGGCCACCAAGGATCTTCCTGAAATATGTGTCTAATTACATGGGAAGGAGCTTTGATCTTTGATCAATGATGTTCAATTTAGTGATGATCATCCAACCTGGCATCCTACGACTGACAGTCGTGTGTTTAATTAGTTGGTGATGTAAGTTAGAGATTTTTAAAGGAAAAGAGACACCCTGGTTTTAGCACTCTTCTCATTATCTAACCAATAAATTAGATTGGTTGGTGCAACCAAATGAGGCACGCCTGTCAAGACCAACATGATAAGCCCAGGCTTTTGTCTAAACGAACCAAACTAGAATAGGAACTGATCAAAGTCCTACCATTTCAGAGCAAACATGCGAAAGAAGCCCAACCCACATCAATCATCATTAAACCAATCCTTGCTGTGAGGATATGGTTACATGGAATTATGAAAAAAACATGCCCGAGGCAACAAAATCATCCAGCAACTTCTCCCATGGTCATGGACCCTATCCGCATGTGAGAGATCTTTGGTGAGTGAAATATCAAACCAGCCTTTTTTCTGATTTTGATGTAAAACCAACCTTTGCTACCTGTCCTAAAACCACACAATCTTCTAAAACCCAATCCTCCAAATCACTTGGAGACGCAAAAACTGTTAAGGAAATGAGAAGGAGATTACCAAAAACCATTCATGCATGAACCAAAAAGCACGTGGTTGATCATGAATACAAAACTGGACCCCAAAAATCATTTTCTTCAGAGAAAGATGTCTCCTCAATTCAATGCCCACAACCATCCAATTTTATGCAGTCCTTTTCCCACTCCTGATAATCTGATGTGGTTCCATATCATTTAGAAATTGAGACTTTGATTTCTTTTTTTTCTTCTTCTTCTTCTTCTTCAGACAGATCCCCACTGTCAGGTGTTAGCAACCAATTAGACAATCCCATGCCTTCTGTTCTTTCATTTTAAGCAGAGGTGGGCAAATGTTTTGTCCTCCCAACGCCCCTACTTGACCGACCACATTTAATTATAAACCAACTATTCTATTCTTCCTTCCTTGCCATTCAAAGTTTTGTGTTTTTGCAGTCCAATGCACGCTTTTTGATGATATCTAGAAGGTTTTGATTTCTTCAAAGCTTCCGGACAGAAGGGGCTTGGTAACAAACTTCAAGTCAATCCTGGGATTACTTTAATGGAATTTATATGTTGGGCCAGTTTCTTTGTTGGTACACAAACCCCAATTTCCCCTCATCCTTACTTTAGTTTGTCCTTCTGTACCAACAATTAATTTCCTTTTAAAGGTAACGGATTTGCAGTTCAGGTTCACCTCAAGTTGGTGTAAGAAGGCTGAGAGGCAGCAAAGAACAAGCAACTCCTAACTGAAGCTTGAAAGGGAGTGAATCAGAGATTTTGGTGGCATCGAGACAACATAGAAACAAGATAGACGACCCTTCTGGCAATACTTGGCATGGCACCCAATGCTATACATACAGATAATGAATATTAAAGTTTCCAAACCTATATATTATATACATATAAAAGCATCAACATAAGGCAATAATGCAAAACAGCTAGAACATCATTGGCCTAATATTAACAAAATTGGGAGATGCCTTTACAAATAAACTAGAGTAAATGAGCCTTTCATTATCATTAAGGCCACAAACACAAGAAGAAATATTGCCCAGGCAACCATGTTTCGAATTCCACAACATACACAGCAACCAAGCAAAAGCCATTTCTCTAATTTAATTAACTCAAAAAATTCAAGAGAATGGCCATCCAGTTTAATCTACTATGTTGCGGGTCTAAATGTACCTGTCAAATTCTCTGTGACTATCAGGGAATCAACAAGTTACCTTGTTTTGAGTTGAGAGAGATAGACCTGGCACTGTATTATAGTTTTACCAATCCTGAATCCAGGAACAACGGTAAAAGCCACTCGTGGTTCTGATTGCGGTGTAATCTCTGATGAAAAGAATGCTTCCTCAGCAACACTTTCCATGTATACTTCAGAAAATCTACACCCTTTGCTTATTTGAAAGATTGATGCCGCAGGCACAAAAGCAAAGGCTAAGCAGTGCAAAAGCCAAACCCGCTTCGCCATTTCAGCAAATAAGGTGAAAAAAGTGGTGTCTGGGAATTGATAGGAACTCACCATGTCTCTAATGCTCAAATTGCCAAAAAAGGATGATTCCATCTTCGGATGAACAACTTGCAAGTATTTGGTCCGGCAAAATTTTGCAAATGTTGACTTAGGCTTCGTGGCCAGATACTCCTTAACTTTCGTAGATTTCAATTCCATAAATCTCTCAAAGAAGACTTGTGGATGTTTCTTTCCCTCAGGCACAGAGTCACCAAGAAGAAAGAAGTACGGATGGTGGAAGGCCTTGAACATTTCCCTGCAAATGAAGGACTCAAATGCAAAACATTTGTCATCTGCTTTCCAATAAATTACAGCTCGTTCTATTGAATTAGCTGCTGAGTTAATATCCCAGTCAGCAGACTTCATTTCGTCAATCATCAGCCTGACAAAACTTCTAATGGACTTGACAGTTTGCCGGAGAACTGTCATAAAATGGCTAGGACCTAAGCCCGAGAGATGAAGATTGTCAAGCACAAATAACTGACCACTTTGATTCAATCTCTTTTCCAGCAACTTGTTTTGCTTATTTGATTCATCCAAACTTTCTCGAAGAAATATGATCTCAGACTCTTTGAGTCTCAGCTGAGATTCAAGTTTCTTCCCCATGATTTCAAACGTCTTTGAAAGACTTTTCTGTTCCTGAATTTCAGCTAAAAGCATTGAATGTTCTGGGGAAGGATCATACTGTTTCTTCAAGAAACATTGCTTCAATTCTGACAATTTCTTCAAGTCAGAAACTATCAATCGATCAGCAGTTTGAATCCCCTCAGCATCATAAGGAGACTGAGCGTGCTGCAACTGAGCATATCCTGCCTTAATTGCTGAAATGGTAGCAAAGATCTTTGCAATAAGCGCTTCCCAGGCAACCCTTCGTTCAAGCTCTTCATCATGTAATCTGTCAAATTTCTGAGATAATCTCTTGGTCGTCTTACTGTCATTCCACTCACCGGCTTCTTTAGGCACCTTCTGAACCCCATCATCAGGGACAATCCCAGCTCCAGCAGCATGCAGGTGAAGAACTTTGGAGAAGGTCCGAACCCATTTACTCTTTGATGGAGTAACAGCCGATGGCTTCACAGCTTCCATCTGCAAAGTATCACAAACGTTAACAACGGCTACAAGTCTATAAGACGATTTCTTCAATGGAACTTTAACGGACACAAATAAGTGAACAAAAGAATGAATAAAGGGTAGAGATGGGGAGGCAACAAAGATCTGGGATGATAATAACGATGATGGGCGTGTTGATGAAAAGCGTAAAAGCAGAATGCTTTAACACTTGGACCGAGGTATTTAATGAAGGAGGAATTTTCTTTTTGTTAAGTTCTTTCACTTTTGTAAGTTTCTAATTACCCTTCTTTTGACAGAGTTAAAAAGAGGAAGACTTTTTTAACGCGGGAAAAAAGAAAGAAGACAAATAAAGAGGACCAGGAAGAACAAGAAGGTAAGATCATAATGGATGGAAATGATTCACGACAGGCTCAAAGACGCGTTTAACGTTCACATAGCTCAAAAAGCTTGCATATCCGACACAAGCACCTTCATTTGCAGCAACAATATTCTATGAAAGGAGGAAATCAGGCGGTGGAGAAAGCATATAGAGGAATAAAACAACCCATGGAACCTGCCTGATATGTTCCTTCTCTATATATGTTGCACAGTACAGATGGGGTCAAAATATTCATACTAATATACTATTCAATAATCTTTACATAACAACAACCCACTTGCCCAAAAAATAAAGCAGATTTCCCACCGCAAGGAGACAGCCAGCATATATTATTTTAATACATTCCATGCTGAATTTTTAATGCTTGAAAAGAATTTTGCCTACAACTTCATGTTTTTGTCCTGGAAATATACTTCGGAGAATCAGAATTTGAGCAAAGGAAGAGGTCAGTCCCAACCACATGGAAGAATCAGAAAAATGTCCAGGAAAAATAATGCATGGCAAAGCATTTGGTATGAAGGGCTTTTTTGCAAAGGGAGAAAAAGACCAAAAGCATTAAATCCAAAATGTAAAATTATTGAAGCTGATCTAAGAACATACCATACAAAGCTCCTATAAAATGGTAAAGAACACTTAAAATTTTGCAGCACTAATCCAAACCAAGATATGCTGTATTTTACTCAGATCCATGAGGAAACAACAAACATACACGAAATTTTTGTTCCATTTGGGCAAAAGCTGACAAAAGCCCCACTGTGGTCCATGGAACCACTTCGAATTCCAACCATGTTCCACATATTTTATTTACACCTTGCCATACTTGACCCCACAACATTAAAAATCCCATATAACCCTTCTCTCCTCCCAGGCTGCAATCCAGTCAATCACCCCTTTTTCCTAAAAGTAGGCCTTCGAAAAATTTATTAAAAAAAAACCCTAAAAAGTGAAGAATTAACAGTTTATCAACTCATAGGATACCTTAGGGTCTATGCATGCACACCCTCAGAAAAACCCTCCTCAAAGAAAGTAAGCTAGGTTTACTAGGGACCCACCAAAGCAAAAACTGATATAGGAACCATTACTGCATATTCATGAACTTTACATATCCACGTGGCTATCCAATGACTGCACTGTAATGCAATGACTTTTTAGTAAGTATTTCTCATCATCACTACTACTACTCATAGATCACGTCAATATAAAAAAGCAAAGAACTGCCCTAACACAAACAATGCACTGAAAAGTTGTTTTTGCAGTACAGCAGGAGCAGCAGCTTCAAACATCCGTTGGATTTCTGCACCACTTTTAGATTTACTGAGATTCGAGCCTATTTGCCTTACAAAAACCCTTGGCCAATCTACATCTAAATCTAGTTTCAGTCTCGTTTGTGCAACACACGTGCAATTATCAAGATCAAAATCTACATCTTTTTGCAAGTTTAAGCAACCATTAAGTACCTAAATATCATACAATATTACAGTATAACTAAAAAGGAATAACTAAGCAGACAATAACATTTGTCAAATATACATAGATATATATATATTTCTCATTACCCTTGCCCTTTACTGACTGAACCAGAACTTTACAAGGAAAACAATATAGAAAATTGGGAAAAATCATCGGTCAAAATGAACAGTACAGATATTAAATATATTGAACTGCATACAACAGGGCCCCCACCTACCAATGAGAGAATTAAAATCACAATGGGGACAACTATGAATCACCGTGCTTATGCAACGACACTGACAAATCCATATCTATGTATTAAAAAAACAAAAATAGGTACATAAATAAATCAAAATATATATATAGTACTGGTATTATTATTTTGAGATAGAAATTCTCCAGCCAGAAAATAGCGCGAGAACTACCTAGAAAAGAAACACGAGCAAAAGGTCACGAGATATCGTACGAGTCTGTCGCCTTCGTCACTTCTCCATTGTTTTGTTTACGTAAATCTCAAGTAAACAGAAACGATATGACAAGTGATCCTTCCCTCTAATCGTCACACCCTTTCTAAAAGGGAAACACAGCAAAATCCTGTAATATTCATTAAAAATAAAAAGAAAATTAATTAAAAATGACGTCGAATTTGAAGGAAAATCAAAAGGGAACGAAAAGAATGAAAAAACCCAGAAATAGAGAACGTTGACTATTGAGGAACAGAAGAAAATTTTGGAAGAAAAATGGAAATGAAGAAAACCCAGAAGCTGAGACCTGATAAACAAACAGAAAATAGAAAAGAAAGTCAAGAAAACCAAATAAAAGCAACTGAAACCCAGATTAGAAGCAGGAAAATGGCAACAAAAGAAGTAAAAATTGAATAAACAAATTTTCTAGATGAACAAAAAAAGCTTCAAAGGCTGTTCTTTAACATTCAAAACAAAGTGAGAAACTGGGGAAAACAAAGAGCACTAACCAGGAGCTCCCCAATGAAGAACAGATGAATAAATTAAAAACCTCAAATATTCAGACTTTATATAACCAAAAAAAAAATCTATTATCAATACTAGCACAAACCTTTATATATAGTAATATTTTGAACAACCCAACTTTGAAACCTGTTTAAATAGGAAAAAAAAACAAAAAATGGAAAGAATATCAACCAAAAAATGGAAACACAATAAACAGAACCCATAAACGTAAAAATCTTTATTAAAATTTCCAACTTACCTTAAACGGAAGTCCCGTTTATCATACAATTAGCAAACAGAAAGGAACATAGAAAAGAAAAAATCTCTCTCCTTCAACTTGAAATGATTAAAACCAACCAACGAAACGTCCCCAATGCAAACAAAATCTTTCTTCAAATTTATGATCAAAATTTTCCTTCTTTGAGCTGATATCAACTTTTTGATTTGATGTTGCAGAAAGAAAAAATGGGAGCCTGGTAGGGATGGAAGTGAAAAGACAAAAAGGGACAAAAACGCAAGGGGTTCTGTCTAAACACGGGAGGCATTGGGAATTAAAAAGCTACCCAGCATTGGGTCATTTTCGGTGATTTACTATATTACTTTTTTACCCCTTCTTTTTTCCGATATCACATATCCGTTAGGATCAGTAAGGGCAAGGAGATTGTGAAACCCAGGAGGGGTAATCTTGGGAATTAAGCTAGTACATCTGACGTACGTAAGATTTTTTTTTGAAAAGGGCAATGGACGGTGGAGATTCGGAGTTGGGAGGATTGTTTTGGGTGTTCCTTCTTGGAGTTTTGGAATGAGTGAGAGTGCGTTAGATGAATGCCACGTTGCGAGTAGTGGGAAGACAGGAAAGTTTAGGTGGCCCCAAGGACGGCAGATTCTTGGACAGATCAAATACGTCCAACTGGCATCCTGATTCTCGAGAGTCGTGGAGTGTTGTGTTCCCATTTGGGATGTCCAATACCGGCTTTTCATCGTATTTTTACCAAATTAAAAAAAATTGACAATTAATTTTCTTTAATGTTATCTAAAATATTAAACTTTATTAAACTTTTTTTTAATCCCTAATAGTTTTTTAGATTAATCATGTTTCAAATTTTTAATCTTCTCTTCTTCCTTAAGTACGATTCAAAATCAGAAAATATTTGCATTTTTTTATATGAGGGATTAAATATTTTATCTTATTAAAGTTTATTCGAATTGAACTGTTTAATAAATTTAACAAAAACACATTTATTTCCTCATAATTTAGAAATTATATATATATATATATATATATATATATAAGTCCATAAATGAGAGTTATTTTTGTTCTCTGTGTATTGTGGTTGTGGTTGGAGAAGGTAGGTATATGAAAATTGACAACACAAATTTATGAGTTCAGGGTCATGTAAAGTGCAAGAAAATAATTTTGTTTTTTCATACAACTGTACAAACAATTTTGTAATTCAACCCTTTGTGTATTTTTCAAAATATATAAATAAAATTATTTTTAAAAAATTAAATAATTTTTTATTTTTGTATTAATTTAATGAAATACATGTATTTTTATTTTATTTCAAATAAATCTTTATAATTAAGAATTGATTAATTATGGTCAATAAAAATATCATTTGTCAGTCATGTGATGCTAACATGATATGTATACATATAATATTGAATGGTGATATAACATATTGATATGACATAATAATATATGCACATGACATTTTTATTTTTCATATTAACATCACATCAATACCACGTGAAAGTAAAATGATAAATAACTGTTTTGATTAATAATAATTAATTAATAATTAATTATAAAAATTTATTTAATTTAAAATAAAAATATTAAAACTTAATCAATTTTTATAAAAGATAAAATTTTATTCAAATTTTCATAAAGAATTTCAAAATTTTTTAAAACATTATATCATACACAAATCCGTTGCGACATTACATTTTAGCATCAAGAACCAATCACTTGGTAGTAATTTAACTTACTATTTTATTTTTTTTTGGTCTTAAGAAGAAGTTACTATTTTTAGAAAAGTGATAGTGTAAGTAACCAGAACATGTTAAAATTGGAAAAACAAGAAAGGAACTAACTCTTATAAATCATCTAATTTTCCCTTCTCTTTCCCTATTTACCCATTTCTTAAAAAACAGGGCAAAAGAAGAAATTATTAGTAAACTAAACCAGTGCTAATTACTACCTCTGCAATGGAAAATCTTGAAAATGAGAAAGGAGAGTTGGGGTGTAGGTGGATATCTATGGGATTTGGTAAGTGAAATGTAACATTATAAAGGCTTAATTAAAAACTATAAAATAAACTTGGGTTGGTCTTAAGTCTAACCATGTTTGTTTATCAGTCCAATTCACCATCTATAAGTTTTCTAATACAATGTTTGTTTATCAATCTAATCCTCTAAACAATATTTTTCTATTTTCATAAAGGTTGAAATAAGAATGGAAAAGCTTAGGCATTTCCTTCTTTTGGGAAAAAAAAAATAGATGTTGCTTTCGGATTAATACGTTTTGCTGACTCACCTTAATATGATGTTTAGACTATGATTTTGAACATGAAACATGTCAATTTCATGCATTGATGTTAACAGTATAAAATGTTTAAAATTTCAAGTTCTAGAATTCACCATTGTTTATTTTCTTAATTTTTTTCATCACAAGTATTTATTATTAATCATTCAATCGTTAAAAATAAAAAAAAATATCTTATATAACATTTTACATGCTCAAAATTTGTCAAGTGATGAATCTATGTCAACTCCATTGTCACGTGACATGTTTATATGTTAATAAATTTTTTTAAAAATAAATTTAATTGTTATACGATAAAATTAGTAGATACGATGCTATAACAGGCAATGTTATTTAAAAAATCTTTTATTGACGAAATGATAACATTTATAAATATTGATAATTAAAAAAATTATTTTTCATAATTGAATGATAAAAATAAATTGGACAGACAAAAGAGCAAAGCACCAAAATTTAATTATTGTTCCAAATCCATAACCCCAACATTAGTAGAGAGACTATAATTTCTCTCCCCCCCAAAGTCAAGTGAAGATATATTCATGTCTTATCAAGCTTAGGGCTAGCAGAAATAATGCCATGTTTAATGAGATTAACTAAACATAATTTAGGTTTGCCTTTGGTGTCTTAATCATACTCTATATCTCTGCATATTTTCTCTTATGGGCCCCTTGAAACATGCTTTAAAACTTCAAATCATGGGTAAAAATAAATAACTATATGATCCTTTTGCTTTAATCTTTGATGATGATTAGGTTGTGGTCAACCAAAAACCACAAATCTATTATGTGGTTGTTATCTTAGGAAAAGGAAAATGGCAAGTCTTTCACATCATAGAGGGGCCCCAAGATGTTTAAAGCCAAAGATAAGAACAGATACTTTGCCCATTTCTTTTTAGATCTTTCTTAAAGAAATTTTATATTTAGTCTCAATCTTAGAATACAATTGAAATCATTTTTCCCTTGAAAATGACATTTAAAGGCCAAATCAAGAAAGTGGAAGATCTATTTATTTGGGTTTTGAGGGTTTTGACTTTTATCTTCCTTCTTGTTCTTATAATATGAACAAAAACCATGGCCCCCTCCAAAGAAAATGTGTTTTATGAGAATATGATATTAGGAAGCCAACCATGATGAAAGTGATATATTGCATACAAGAGTGAATGAATTGGATCACACTTTGTTGAGGGAGTGATTCCTTGTAATTAAATTATTTTTTATTTTTATTTTGGGATTTTTGAAAGAAAGAATTTATAAACTAATAAATAAATAAATGTATTGAGAAAATGTCATTTTCCCCATCAACACCAACAAAGACATTATGCATATGGGAAGGACTATTAGTTGGCTATAAAAGAAATGGAAAGACATTTTAAGGAAGTCATCCAATCACCAATTATTCAATATCTAAGATCCTTTTGATACAAACAAAACATTTCCTCATGCAAATGTTTTGTCACAAGATGGAGTCCAAATTATACAATCATGACAGATTATGCTTTACAACCATACTACAGCAAAGCTAGAAAAAATAAACCAAAACAGATTATTACTTTTATTTTTATATATACTACTAAATGAAAAATGTTGCACATATATAATTATTCATTGTTTTCTAATCCTTTTTTTATTAAATAAAAACTACCTCAAATATAATAATAATGATAAATTAAAAAAGGAATGTAGATATTAATAAAAATTACATAACATGGTTATATATATATATATGTTGAGGCTATTTAATCCAAAAGGTGTATCATCATGTTTTATGACTTTTTCCATGCTTCTCTCCTATCAAAATTTTCTTTTTAGATGAGCATGTGGAAACCTAACAATCAAATATATAAAGGAAATATTAGTTAGGTCAAACTTTTTAAAACTGAATAGTGCACAAGTACTCTCCAGAAAATAAACACTTTTTAATTTTAATTTTATTTATAATATTTATTATTATAAGAATAATTTATTTTATGAATCAAATTATATAATAATTATTTTTAACTGATTTTATTCTCACAGAATAATCATCTTATTTCTCATTTATTTTATTGTACGAATCAAACATGGCGTGAAAATGTTGAGATATTTGTTTAAACCAGTTAGAATAAAATCAAGTAAAAAGAGAAAGCTCTTGTCTCAATTACTAATAAAATAATAATAAATAATTTGTCTTAAATGTTTTAGATGATGCATTAATCTACTTAGTCTTGCACTTATATGGCTTATTAAGAGTTAAGTAAATTGTGAAGCCCCACCATTTGGTAATAAAATAATTTTTTTTTGACATATTTTATCACAATCTACCTATAGGATTTGGAGTATTTTGTCAATTTTATTTTCCATAAAATTTTTTGTGGTATAAAATTATGACTTGTCTTAATTTAATGTCTAACTTTTCTTTTTTGTATATAAAAAAGGAAAAAATATACATGGATATAACATTATGGAAAATTTTGAAATTCCAAATATCTCCCTGACAAGAGTGGAAATATTTATGACTAATAATCTCTTTATGTACAAAAAGAATAATAGAAGCAAAAAAAGAGAAAAATTAAAAAACTATGGAAACGAGGGTGAAAACAATGATGGAGAATATAATTAATTTATTTAATTTTTCTTCTGGATAATTAGGAAAAAGAGATGTTGCAGCGGAAATAATGGAATTTGTCTTAAAAATAAAATAAAATAAAATGAACAATTTTAGCGCCACTCACGGTATGAAAATGTTGAACAACACAATCATAGATAGGCAGAACACATGGGATTAACATAATTTTGCCCCTACATGATTGTGACTGCATTTTCTTTTTCTTTTATTTTTTTATAAAAAAAACAAAATAAAAGACTAATAATTTCTTAACCAAAATTTATTTATTTATTTATTTTTAAAAAATACAACTTGTAAATGACGAATAGATAACCCCTTTTTAGTGACCCAATTTTGATTTTATCAATAATAACCTTTTCTAGGAGGGTTAAGATCGATGATTTAATAACATTCTCCGACTAGTTAAAATTTTCTAATACATATATATATATCAAAAAATAAAATTATTGTTAGTTCCATTTTTCTTTTAAACTTTAAAATATTTGGATTTATCAAATTTTATTTATATTCCATATTATGTGTGATTCTCATGCAATTTGGGATTAAAACATTATATAATTGACATAGTGCATTGAACCCCAAAAAAGCAAGTGACCTAACATTATTGTTGTTCTGAAAGATGTATAAATGCCTGTGCAGAAAGCTGAAGCCAGAAATTTCATTCAAAGTTGATATTATAATACTAGTAATATTCCCATATTCATTGGCCTGGATCTGTCAACTCCAGGCTACTTTTCAGAAAGCTTTCAAGACTCAAGCAACAGTTTTAAAGAACAAAATGCCCTCCCAGACTAACAGAGGCCTGATTTAATGGTTCAGATTTTTTTTTAGATTTCCCCCAGCTTTTTCTTTTTCTGCTTTCTCTGTTGCCACTTAAATGTGCAGCCACTATGACATGGAATCCAATGGCAATTTGAGAGCTGTTTGATTTTGTTTTGCCCTGTTGAAATTTGATATGATGGCAGCCCTTTTTTGTAAGATCAAATTTACAATGATGGATATGGGAAAAAGAAAACAATGGAGATTTTAGGCTTCAAACCCTCATCTCTGCATATGTTCTCTTCCTTTCATTTTCATCAAACAGATTGCAAGAACCCTCTATGCATATATTCTCCCATACAATCAATCTGCCAATACTGTAAGTGCACCAATGCACATGCCTCCCGATGCAGCTGCAGTGGGTAGGTAATGGTTCAACTCTGCCAGGCATTACTATTTGTTGTTCCTGCATAACAGCTAAATCAAAAATGGTTTACCAATTGCTAACCAACGCCTGGTACCGTTCAGCTGATGATATACAAAAATAGCTTACTCATTTCATCCTCTCAATTCATCCTGTAGTGGTTGAACACATAATCAATAAATAATAATTTCCTATAAAGGCATCTACAAGGTAGGATTAGTAGTCAGTGGAATCAACAGTCAAGGCTGGGTGGAAAAAACAAGTCACTGGTTGACAGGTAACGAGTGTGTTAGCTTCTTTCAGGTGCATAGTTACCATCTAGAGGGGTAAGTTTAGATACTATCTCAGCATGTAAGCTTTTGCACCATACCATATAATGTATAATCACTCTCTGCTAGACTGTAAATGTATTCATAAAATGTTGGATTAAGGTTTAAGTTTTAACTTAAACTTAAACAGGAGAAAAATACACAAAAAGACAACAACGGGTGCTCTAATATCAGCTCCATCTATAGTGCCAAAATTAAGGTAGCTAAGTCCAATCCCAAGCAGGCATTTAGCTCATAACTGAAATACAATCAAAGAACAATTTCAGCTATGTCACTAACTCGATTTTCCTAACGTACTCATCCCAGACACTATGAAGTCAACTTTGCTGTGAGGTATAATCTTTGAAGCTTTAGTTAAAACTAATAAAAAATTGAATTATGTGGGCAAGTATCCACTTCCAAAACTTGAACCTGAGTCCACCTAGCATTAGATATCTATATTATAACATTAACAACCATACTTACTACGGACTTAAATAAATCCTGCAAACAACTACCGATTATGTAATGTAAAGGCTATTCAGAATAAAATGATGATTAAATTATTAAAATTATAGCCATCTTAATATACTTTTCCTAAATTAAAAACTCATGTAACCACATAATTTAAATACAAAATACCACAAGTTTTTAAATTTTGAAGCTTATGGGTAAACCAAAATCGACACAATAGGAAGTAGAAACACAAAAGCAATTTCACAGAAACAAAGTAAACCTAAAGATGGACTTTTATAGAAGATGACATACCCTGAGCTGCTTGACAACATCTCTAGCAGATGATCCCGAAACTTCAATCCAAGTTTTAGAGAACAATGCACAGGCAGACAACATAAACACAAGATAGAACAGTGCATGAAAAGGATGGGCCGCCATATCAGCTAAGCTGCAAGATAACATAGGCAGAGTGTCAGCATAGGTTGATAAGGAAGGATACAATCATGTTCCAAATGAAAAAGTTACTGATCAACCAACAGAAGCGCCAGCATTACAGACCATGCTGGAAAAGTATTTGTTTGAAACAGGAAAGGTTATAATCACCTTGATGGAGCAGTGATGTAATATGCAAGGCCACAACAAGAATGGATTGACCATTTGAATATTCAGATTCCTTCCGCTGGCCCAAGAGATTCAAAAAAAAGTTTCCACTGTACCTCCGGTAAAGCAACTGCAGAGGGACAAATGATTAGATAAAATTATATAACAAACCAACAGATATAGATAACCATAGGTGTACAATACAAGCAAACTCTAGCACCTGAGAGATGAAGCAGAGGTTGGAAACAAGAGCAGAATGTAGAACGATGGGCACGTTAGAGTTGTAGAACAGCTTGATAGAATATGAGCCCTGCTGCCCACAGGCATTCTTTGACCTCAAAGATAAACAACACGAAAACCTTGGAAGTAGAAAACAATCAGGAAAACCAAGACTGTAGCAAGCACATTTGTCACATTTGGAAGATTCTGCCGATAAAAGGCTTCTTGGAGACCAAAAATCTTGTTTTCTGGAGTTAAAAGCATATGGAATAAAGCAATAACAGATCCTTCAAACTCAGCACCTCTGTCGCTGTTGACAGTTGCGGGGCTAAATGCCTTCCAGATTATGTTTCACTGCCAATAAACCAAATCTGTTTTCAGTGCTAGTAATTGTAATCTACCATAGTTTACATCATGGAATCACACTCAGCTACAAGGTAATTGTGAGACAATAAGAATCCTTATACACGTATGCAATAGATCCAAAAAGCAGAGAAAATAAAAAAAAAAAAAGCTACAAAAACCAACCAGATATTGGTTGCTATGAAAAGGGAAATTCCAGATGCAGACCATAACCTTTCTGAAGGAGGTCATCCAGATAAACTACTGTGCATCCCTGAGAGAACATAGGCAACTGCTTCGCCAATGGCTTCAAGATGCCTAATAACATTTTTGCACCATTTTTAGAAATAAAAAATGATGCACCCTATATACAATATACATCATGGAAACCAAAGAAGCAGTTGCAGCTTAAAAAAATATAGAAGCCGCTTTATTGCCTAGCAATAATGAAATGTGTAAACATGCATGATTAATGCACATAATGCACACCAAAAGCATCACTTCTAAAGCTATAATCATTAAAAACCGTAAAACTAAAACTCTAATGGAACTCATAATACTATCCAATATAGAAAAACAGAAACTTGCAATAAAAATGTAATCAATCTTCAGTCTCTGACTATAATTACTTGAATAATGCAAGAAATCAAAACAAAATTTACCCTAAAAAGATACTTACAACAGGGCACGATCTTCACGAACATTGTTGTCCACTTCAATGATCTTCGAACCAGCAAGGAGTTGCATCACTAGTCCAGATGTCACAATGGGAGTGATTCCAAACTCTATCACAGTCCCACGATTATATGCAAGAATAACACGCATCCAATAGAATGGATCTGCACCAGTTGTAGAATGTATGCCCTACAGTGGGAGTTGGCTACAAACTAAGAAAATGAAAAGAGAGATCACAGTGTATACGACCTTCTCTCTGAAGGGAACTTTCCTGTCAGCACTCTGACCTTCAGGTAGAAACCAAAGAAATGGTCTCGCAAGATGAAGCACTCAAAACCCACCCTCCATTTTGTTTCATTCAACTCAGAAACTAAACTACAGCAACCTGCACGAACCATTCAGAGATATAAACAAATCAATAAACCAGATAGAACTCTATATAGACATAGCAAAAACACCCCATACTCCACACAGAAACTGTTCCACATTGGAGTTTGTACCTCTAACATTTTTAAGCAATGAATCACGAAAAACATGAAATTCATGCAGGATAATTTCCAAGTTTGGCCCATTAGCCCCCTGCCAGTTTATACCGTGCCCAACTTTCGAAAAGCTAGATTTGGAATTCTATACATCTCAGAAACAATGGGAGTTGAAAAGAGAGAAAATATTTTACATCCAAATTGTATAATGAAAGGGGAAAAGAATTGAAACTCGTCTTGATTATTCAAAATTTGAGTGAAGGACTTGAAACCCCCAGACCATCGAATAGTTTCCAGACCTTAAAACAGCCTTCTAAAAATCTTCTTAAAAGGGCAAGGGCAACCATGAAACAGTTAAAGAAATTGTGAAGCATGTATTAGTTAAAAGTGAACAGCATTGTGGACATTCCTAAATGGAAAGGAGCATAACAACGTGATATGATGAAGAGGTCAAAACACTCCAGCAAAGTTTACTTCTATTTGGAAGCAGAAAAGAGAATGATACAAAGACATCTGAAACGCTTAACATAATTTTATTTGAGAAACACAAACAGTTTTCGCAGCTGTAAGGAACCTCAATAACATAAACTCTATCATCCAAAAGCGATCTAAACTCCTATGCTTAATTAAAATCCCACCTACTTAGAACAATTTAACCTTATATTTAGCACAGATTATTCAAATTTTCAACGCAAAATATAGCAAAACAAAAAATTTCAGAAAAAAAGAACTTACATTCCTAATCAAATTCATCAGCAAAATCAGATCTTTACCCAAAAAAGAAAAAGGAAGAAAAGACGATTCAATTACCATCTGAAGCTAAGAAAAAGATTTAAAATAAAATGAAAATTATGTACTGGGAAATGAAAGATCTTGTAATGAAACGAATACTAACCGTACGCAATGGAAATTGAACGATCCGTACTGGATGGGGTGAATATTTCTTTAATTCTGTTTACTAGCTTAATAGGAAAAAAAAAGTTAAATTATGAAATTAATACTATACTTCTATAAAGTATTGGATTTAATAATATTAAAAAATTTTATTATTTATATTAATATAATATTTTTTATTATTGTGATATTAAATTTAACCATGTATTTTTTATTTATTTTATAATTTTTTTCATTGTTTTAAATTATTAAACATAAATATTCAATTTTCCTCTATTTCAAAACATTTTTTCTTTAATTCATAAATTTATTTTTTAATTTATTGCTTTATCAAGTTTGTTAAAAATTATTAGTTCAAATGAAATAATTTCATGTTTATATTAATAAATTATATGACAATGTTTACTCATATCATACCAATACTATTATTATATCATTCAAAAAATATCACTTTATTATTATCAATCATTAAATTCAATATGACATTAGTAAAAAAAATCATTCTAACACAGTTAAATATCATATTAATATAATAATAAAATTTTTTAACACATATATTGTCGATTTTGAAAAATTAATAAATTTAATTTTTATAAATTGTTGTATAAAATTAAATTCACCATTTTCATAAAATATAAAAATTAATTATATAATTAAAAAAAAACTTTAGACATCTATATTATATATCATACGCTGATGTGATGGTTTCAAAGACAGGCATAGGATCTTTGGACAAAATATTTACTTAAATCACGAAACTGCCCCTCACTCACCTCCCATCGTCCCCCTCGTCTTCTCTCTCGTCCACAGTTCCAACCCCTCCCCTTAAAAAAAAAAAAAACCAGGGAAAAAAAACACACACAAAAACCTTCAATAAGATGACGAGTCCACTCGCTCTCCATCGAGTTACCACCACCATCACCTAACTCGCTCCTGCCTTCTCTTTTAAATATTTATTTCCCTTTTCACCCAATTTAGATCCTCTAGTTACCTGCGATCCGATCCGAATGTACAATTCGGAATCTTTCCTTCCAATCCTACTCTTACTAACCAATTTACTTTTCTTTTCCAATGCGGATTCGGGTCGGAAATGCTCCAACACGAGCTCCCTAATCGGGTTCGAATCGAACTTCACGATGGTCCAGCACCAACTCCGAGGCCATGTCAAAATTCTCGACGACTGCTCTTTTCAAGTCACCCGATTGGACATGTTATCCGGGTCAACCGACGTCGTCTTCTGGGGCGCCGTCTCCCTCGATTTCTCTAACCTCACCCGTGGGTTCCCCATCTCCGATCACCGTCTCAACCAAACGACTTACAAAAACGCGTCATTTTCGCTCCAATTACTCTCCAATCTCACTTGGGGCCAGATCAACGTTCTCGCCGTCTGGGACCGCATAACCAACTCAGACTTCGGCCACGTAACCCTCCCCACCAACGGGTCGGGTTCAGAACCGGTTCGGGTACGCACAATGTTGGACAACTGCAAGAGCTTGTCTGATAATTATAGGGTTAGGTGGAGTTTGGACGTGGAGGAAAATTGGATCGAGATCGGGTTAGAAGCGGCGACGGGGATGATGAATTACATGGCTTTGGATGGGCGAATCCGAATAGGACGACGGAGCTAATGTCGGGAGCTGACGTCGCAGTGGCGGGTTTCACCGAGGAAGGCAGGCCGTTTGTTGATGATTTTTACATTACGACATATAGTGAATGCATGATGAATGCTACGGATGGTTCAGCAATAGGTGTTTGTCCTGATGTAGTATATGAGAACTCAGAAAACATATTGGTAAATAATACTAGGTTGATTTATGGACATAGGAGGGATGGGGTTTCTTTTGTTAGGTTTAGGAAACCGTTGAAATCGCCTGATGAGAAATACGATTTGCCTGTGAATCCTACAGAGGAAATGACGGTTATTTGGGCATTAGGGTTGATGAAACCACCAGATAGTATTCGGCCTAATTATTTGCCTCAAAAATCATGGGGGTCCGAGGAAGGTTACCTATGGACATTTGGAGCTTAATGTTTCAGAGAAGGTTGATGATTGTTTAGGGCCATTGGATGCTGATGATAAGGAGGATCAAGATTTGATTATTGCCGATGCAAATGTTCCACTTATTGTTACAACAGGGGAGGCATTGCACTATCCGAATCCGCCAAATCCGACTAAGGTTTTGTATATTAATAAGAAGGAAGCTCCTGTGCTGAGAGTGGAAAGAGGGGTGCCGGTGAAGTTTTCAGTACAGGCAGGGCATGATGTTGCATTATATATTACTTCAGATTCTCTAGGTGGGAATGCGACATCAAGAAATGCAACTGAGACTATTTATGCTGGAGGGCCAGAAGCAGAAGGAGTTTTAGCAAGCCCTTTTGTATTGGTTTGGGCTCCTGATAGGAACACCCCAGATCAAGTGTATTATCAGTCATTGTACCAGCAGAAGATGGGGTGGAGAGTTCAAGTTGTTGATGGTGGTCTATCTGATATGTATAATAACAGTGTGTTTTTAGATGATCAACAAGTTACTTTCTTTTGGACATTGTCTGAGGATTCGATATCTCTTGCTGCCCGTGGTGTAAAGAAGAGTGGCTATCTTGCAATAGGTTTTGGTAGTGGGATGGCGAATAGCTATGCTTACGTGGGCTGGATTGACAATATTGGAAAAGGGCGTGTAAGTACATATTGGATTGATGGAAAAGATGCCTCCAATGTGCATCCAACGAATGAGAATTTGACTCATGTGAGGTGCAGGTCAGAAAATGGCATCATTACTATGGAATTCACTCGTCCCTTGAAGCCATCATGCAGCCATAATAATGGACCAGAGTGCAAGAACATTGTTGATCCAACAACTCCTCTTAGAGTAATATGGGCAATGGGTGCCAAGTGGACTGATGAACATCTTAGTGAAAGAAATATGCATTCTGTCACAAGTCAAAGGCCTGTGCGGGTGCTGCTTATGCGTGGTTCTTCGGAGGCTGAGCAAGATCTACGACCAGTGTTAACTGTACATGGATTTATGATGTTCCTCGCTTGGGGTATTTTGCTTCCTGGTGGAATATTGGCAGCTAGATATTTAAAACATGTAAAGGGTGATGGATGGTACCAAATTCACGTTTACCTCCAGTATTCAGGATTAGCAATTGTCCTACTTGCCCTTCTTTTTGCAGTTGTTGAACTTCGGGGTTTCTATGTCAGCTCGTTACATGTTAAGTTTGGGATTGCTGCCATATTTTTGGCCTGTGTGCAACCAGTAAATGCGTATCTCAGGCCTAAGAAACCACCTAATGGGGAGGAGGCTTCCTCAAAGAGGCTTCTTTGGGAGTATTTCCATGTAATTGTTGGCAGAGGTGCTATTGTTGTAGGAATTGCAGCACTTTACAGCGGAATGAAGCATTTAGGAGAAAGATATGGCGGTGAAAATGTTCATGGACTTAGCTGGGCTTTGATTATATGGTTCTTGATAGGTGCATTGATGATCATTTATTTGGAGTATCGTGAAAGACAGCGGAGGAGGGACAGACTATTAGGAAGGGGCAACTGGGTCTTGGGTAACCTTGAAGAAGAAGATTCTGTTGATCTTTTAAGCCCTAACAGGGCTCTGACACAAAAAGGTTCACAGAATTCTGGACTAATGGAAGTTCAGTTAGAGCCATTAAGCAGATAGATTGGTTTGATACATTTTTTTTTGTTTTGATATAAAAGCACCATTCTTCACCAGTTTTGAAAGTTTCCTACCAACCAACATGGAGGTTAGCAGAGCTGTTTATTTTCTCGGACGGCTTTCCCCAATGTAAGGAGCGCTTTACTCTATGATAAGTTTTTCTGCCTCCAACCACTTTTTGTGAAGAGCAATTTCTATACAGCATGTATTTTGTATACTTGATACACTTTTTAGCATAGTGGAAGGTTCTATTGATTTATCAACCTCATTTCACTAGATTGAAACAGATCTTTCATTTTTAAGATGAGATGATACATTAGATTGTCAAATTTTCTATTATCTTTAAATCATTATACTTGCAAATGATACGTGGATCCTCTAACTTACAATCAAGTCTCTTATGTCTGTCTTTCTGAACATTTTGCTTTGGTAGTTCATGACGCGTATGTTATTTCTTCAACTAGTGAGGATCTTTCTGTTGCCTTGTGTCCCACTATTTATTTGTTCTAGCATGTAAAATTAGCTTAGTGAAGCCTTTATTCTATTGTCAAGCGAGTAGATAACTTGTTCACCGTTAGTTTTGTTTGGAAAATCTTCGTCTGTTGTTTCCCTAAGGAAGTGGCTCTATAATTGGAAATTTGAAATGATTGCGATATATTAAATGCCTTTAATATTGCCCTTTTTATTCAAAGTACTATAATGTCAATGTCCAATTATTGGCAAAATTTAATTGTTATGACAAACTTAGAGGAGTTAAAGGTACCCTGATACGCAAGTGAAGTTACCTTGATTGTCTTGGCTTGTGCATGTAATTTTGATGATATCATCTCCTGATATTCCGTTGCTTCTAATTATGACATGTTGTGGGTATGGAGGTTGTTATATGCCACCATAATTCCTGCTTTATGCTGCTTTTTTTTTTCTTTATTTTTCTTCACTTCTATTGTGGAAAATCTCGATAGCAAACAGTTTAGATGAAAGTGTGACTGTGGGGATTATGTTCTTACTTCGTTGATTTCCTATGCTATTTTCTTCAACTTATTAACAAAACATTGTTTTTCTTTACCAATAAAGTCTTGCTTAGCACTCATCTAGAATATACGAAGGCCTATAACAGCAGAGACCGAGGAAAGCCGAATTAGGACCTGGTTAGAACATAGTGCATTGAACCAAAAAAAAGAGAAAATTAAGACAGTTGATCTAAGAGTTAGTGGATAACATTATTGTTCTTCTGAAAGTTGAATAATGTTGTGCAGAAGCCTGAACCCAGAAATTTCATTCAAAGTTGATATTATAATACTAGTAATATTCCCTTATTGATTGGCCTGGATCAATGAGCTCGAGGCTACAATCTCCTGCCCCACTTTTCAGAAAACTTTTAAGATTCATGCAACACTTTTAAAGGACAATATGCCGTCTCTCAACAAATATAGGCCTGATAGTAATGATACAACAATTAGGCTTATTAGATTTTTCCCAGCTTTTTCCTTTTTCTACTTTCTTTGTTGCCACTTAAATGTGCAGCCACTATGACATGGAAACCAATGGCAATATATCCTGCAAATTGAGTTGTTTGATTTTGTTTTGCCTGATGAAATTTAATGATGGTATCCTCTTTCTTGTTTCTCTTTTGTTGATGCTTGTAATTCTCAATTTCAGTTAAGAAACTCGAATTCAATAGATCCGAAAACCAAAATTGGATTAAACTACAAATTTCAATAGATCCTGAAAGTCAAATTTACAATGATGAATATGAAAAAGGAAAAACAATGGAGATTTTGGGCTTCGAAATCTCATCTCTGCATATATTCTCTTCCTTCCATATTCATCCAACAAATTATAAGAACCCTCTATGCATAATAATCCTTCCTAAAAGAATATGAGTTAAGAAAACATATTGAACTACCTAAAACTCTAACCATTGGCATCAAAAGGCCGCCTTGAATACATCTCTCAGCTTACCCAAAATTGTTGGAGGCTTGTAAACACGACCATCCCTCGAGTCAAACCCCAAGTCTCAGAATCCAAAGAAGCCAAGCTCACCGGCCTTCTTCTTCTCAAAAGTCTCAAAGTATTGATAAATGATTGTGACTGCAAGAAGAATGCCAGTTC